TCGGAGTAAAAGGAGGGCCTAGATCGTGTAGGGCCTTGAAAGCCATTTTAAGAATGTTGGGTTTTACTTGAGGTGAGGCGAGGAGCATCTGGAGTGCCTTCAACAGTGGCGTACCATGATCGCAGTGGAGAGAGATCGCCCACACTGCTTGCAGTGGGGTGGAGCGGGAGCAGGGAGACCAGATGGACGATGGCGTCTTAAGAGTGGAGGGCAAGAAATGGTCAGAGTATTCTAATGGATTGGATGTGGGAGTGAGAGAGAGAAGAATCAAGGGTCCAGAATTGGGTGCAAGTCGCTGGGAAAATGGAATTAACAAAAACTGACGTGGGAATATAGTGGGTTTGGGGGGATGGGGTAGAGCTGGTGGAATCAGCTTTGCACATGAGATGGTCATCCGACCTCTGGGGGGAGATGCTTCCTGGGCAGTGGGACACTCAGGCCTGTGGTCCAGGAGGGTGAGTGGCCCCTCTGCACAGAGATGGCATGTGAAAGCCCAGTGTAGGGAGGGTCTGCAGGGCAGAGGCCCAAGGATGGAGCCTGGGGGCTCCCCCCAGGAAAAAGGTCAGGGGTCAAGAAGGGACCAGCTCGCCAGCTGAGGGGAAGCCCTGGAATGTTCTGCCAGTCAAGGGAAAGCATCAGGGAGGAAGGGACTGATGGGATTAGGGGCTGCCCAGACCTGTGAGGGGACCTGAGAACTGCCTGCTGGATCCACAAGGAGGGGTTACAACCCAGATGGGGTCTCCGTGTGCCCCCCTCAGTCCCATCACCCTGCTGTCATGCTCGAGCCTTAGAGCGTGTGCCAGTGCATGCCCCACTTCATTATACTTCATCCCTGCACTTTCAGACTTTTCCTGGCCGCTCCTCAGTGGTTACTTTTCCATACGAATTTTGGAATCAGATGATCTAGTTTTCTTATTAGGATCCTCTTAAGCCTAATTTATATCTCTGTAACCGTGTTTCTATCCAGGACATCTTTCCAGAAATAACGAACCACCAGCTAGAGCAATAATTCTCGATTGGAGAGTTGGGGGGAGGTCCCCGAGACATTCTGGAGAAAGTCTCGTCACTTCTGGGCCGGTATGTAGTGGGGAGAGGCCAGGGATGCTGCTCACCCCCCTAGAGGGCACATGACACCCCGCCGGAGACTCACCTGCTCCACGCTGTTCTAGCGGCACTGGAGAAACTCAGCCTCATGGGCCCGCACGCTTCCTGCCAAGGGTCCTCCTCTGCATTTTCCTGCTGAGTGCTTGGATGGTTTCATGGGACTCAACCTTCTCAACTGCTCTAGAAGAGCTTTAAGGATTGATGATACATAGTGTTGTGGAGGTTTTTTATTCTCTTCAGCAGCCCAGGCTCTGACCCCTTCCTGCATGTAGGAGACCGCTGGTGGGGTCCAAGGTTCCAGTAATGTCATGGAGGCAAAACAAGCCAGACACCTGCTTTTCCAGTTCGCTTCCAGCTGAAGCACAGGTCGGGGACCTGTGCCCCATCAGGTGCCCGTGCAGGGACCAGGGCTTCGGAGCAGGGCACAGGGCCCGTCTCCCTGCTGGAGGTGGTGGGCCTTTCAGGACCAAGCTACAAAGGCTCTAAGTGGCAGGTTTTGGTGGTGGCAGGTTTGGGCACTGTTCTTGACTGCCTGACACGCAGCCTTGTCTGCCCCCCAATTCTGTGGGCTTTTAAATATCCTTTCGATCAATTCCCTTTTACTTTTGACATCGCGTCCGATTCTGTTGCTTGCCACCAAGAATCTGGGCTGGTACACATGGATTCATCATACCGTGAGAAACAGCGGAGGCCGAGATGTTTGACAGTGACCGAACTCAGCTTTTCTACAGAAAAGTTGTGTGGAACTTTCCGTATCAAAGTATCCAAGTTTCCTGCCCTAAACCCCAAGTACAATAAGGGATGATTATGTCAGGACTGGGGAAAGGGAAGGCTTACACTGAGGGGTAGGACGTGGACTCATGGGAAAGACTGTGGAACCGGATTTTAGAAGGCTTTAACACATACATCTTTATCTTGCCTTAATGTTGGTTCTTCAGGAGTAAACTGGCTTGGTGACGGGTAGTACCGGACCAGTGTCTGAGAGTCTGTGGGGTCCCCGTGAACAGCAGGGTCACGCGGAGGGAGGAGCCCATGCCCACCCACGAGGAACGGGGCCGAGCGGGGAAGGGCTAACGGCGCACGTGTAACAGAGCAGGACTGCTCACAAGGGGCTCCTTCAGACACGCGGCTTCCGTAACTGAGGAGTGAAGGCAAGCTGCTTCTGAGAAAGGTTGTCATAGTTAATGAATACAAAATTAGGTGTAATGTACGTTTTTATTTATAATAAAAAAAATAAATTACAAATTTAAAAACGCTAACAGATTCCACACATCACAAAGTGCAGGTGACAGGCTTTGCATTAACAGGTGGTCAATGAATGCATAAATGCCTTTTCTCCCCGGTTTTTGTCAGCTCTGATCACCTCTTGTCGGGACAGTGAATTTACATATTCCCACAGCTTCTCCAGCACGCTTTATCGAAAACTTCATTATTAGGACTTAACGTTTCTCTCCACTTCACAGCTTGCTATTGGTAACAGATCATTTTAGAGCTGTTATCAGATCTCTGAAAACCTCTATCAGGTTCATCCCAGACCCAAGCTCGGCGTTTTGGAAGGACTCCCCCCACTCCCCTAGGGGTTCCTCCTCAGGGGGCACAGGCCACACTGCTGCTGGGCCCTGGCCCCTGCAGGGGGCGCTAGCGTTCTTGGAAGCTCGCCCTCCGCAGTAACTTCACTAGACCCTGAAGTAATGCTGAACCAACTCCGAGTCCTCTCAGCCGGATTCCAGTGCACAAGGCCACCCTGCACTGCCCAGTGGGAAGGGGGACAGTAGGAGTGCACAGAAACACCTTTGCCAGTGGCAGTTAAATTCTCTTTACGAATTTTACAAAAACAGATGATCATGGGAGCACGGTGCTGGGGCCTCTCCCAGGGCCTCTGAGGGGCCAGGCAGTGGAAGGCCCTGAAGCTCAAGGCTCCTTAGTGTCCTGATAAATCTGCCCATGGTCTTAGCAACCCCATTCCGCCGTGGCTGGGTCTGCCAATGACCTAAGGGCAGGTCCAGTGCGGGCTGGTGGGAGAGACAGGAGAACCTGACGTCCTTTTCCTTCTTGGAGGCTGTCAAGAAAGTCTCAACTTGGCAGCTTTCTTGAACTTGGAGAGAAAACCCAGAACCCCACTGAAGCCAACCCCGTTGTTAGCCATCTTTCCGGGTTTTCTGTGTCTGCGACCATCAGGTGTCCTCCTTGTTGAAGCCACTTGTCATTGGCTATTCTGCTGGTGGAAGCTGGAGGCATCTGCCCGGCATAGACACTATGGTGGAAAGAAACCCAGTCCAGTAAACCCCACACACAGCCTCTGGGTCTCAGCCTCACTGAGACCTCAGCGCTCCAAGCTCTCCAACAGGGGCACAAGGCTCGGCAGCCTGTGGGGCCTACACGTGCATCCTCACCAGAGCCCATTCCTAGCTCAAACCCTACTTCTTTGAACTTCAAAAAACCGAAAGAACCCACAGGTTCAGACTTTCCCCCACTCCAAGGCAACGGGATGAGGAAGTGGAATTTACTAGATACTTCTCAGCCTGCTCCTGAGTTCCTCTGCCAGGACTGGGTCTCTTCTGGGGTGGCTGGGGGTGGGCTTGCTCAGGAGCAGGAGTACAAGATACTTCTCTTCCTGGGCTGTCAAGCAGACAGCGTCGCTTCCTCTCTTCCACAGTGCACCCCCCCTCCATCTGCACTTAGGGAGACTCCCTCCTCCTCAGAGAAGTGAACGGGATGATGCAGTAACCCTTCTAAAGTGGTCGGCATGTGCACCACTGAAGGCCAGGGCCTGCCGGTGAGCCTTCCCGGCTGCCCCTCCAGTTTGGGGAACAGTCCTGCTTCCCTTTGTTTCCCCCTGTGGAGCACTTCTCCCCTTGTCAGTGACTTTCTCAAAGACGGAAAGGCAAGGGGAGAAAGTAAAATCAGTAAACAAACCAGGGCCTGCTCCAGACACAAGAACTGCCTGGCTGCCAGGAGTTCACCGGGGTGAAGACTAAAGCTCTGCCAATCAGATAGTCTGGTCAGGTGCTGACTCAAATGCCCAAGGTTTGGGAGAATTTTGAGGCTTTGTATAGGAATTGGAGATACTACAAACAGGCTGAGGTAAGGTCCAGGACAGGAAGGAACCTTTCAGAAATGCAACTTCAACAGTCTGAGGTGGGTAACAGTCTTGCTGAGAATGAATTTCCAGTGGAAGCACACCGACAACAGGAGTCTGATTCCTGATGGGCCCTCACGTTAGGGATTATTAGGGCTACCAGACGACAGATCCCCTTCTTCATGCCCACAGAGCTGTTCACAGCTTCCATGGCAAACAACACAGAAGAGATGTCCTCGACTCCAAATGAAGCCTACTACTACACGTTTTGATGAAGCCTTTTTATATGAAAGTAATAATGGTGGTAGTTGTGTGGACAGTATTTTATCAGAACATTGCTCAAACTGCAACATTTCTCAAAAGGCAGGCTCAGATCAAACAATTCTTGAATTTTCCAGATCTTTAGGTGGATCCATATACCAAAACAGTAATGCTCCTAAAACCACAACCTTTAATCCAACAAAATGTTACTCATACCTCAAACAGGAGCCCAAACTGAGGGCGATTCAGAGATCACTAACACAGAAATCAAAGTGGACATAAAGTCCTGACTGACTCAACCACCAGAATGCACAGAGAAAAGCACATAGTCAATGCATATTAAGAATAAACCTGGAAGGGGAAAATTTTTTTAATTGATGTGAAATAAATATTGGGGTTAACCGATTCTTTTATTAGAGATTTCTAATTCCCAGGGCACCTGGGTGGCTCAGTTGGTTAAGCATCTGACTTAGGTCATGATCTCAGGGTCCTGGGATCAGGCCCCTCATCAGGCTCCCTGCTCAGCAGGGAGTCTGCTTCTCTCTCTCCCTCTGCCCCTGCCCCCCACTTGTGCTCTCTTTCTCAAATAAATAAAATCTTAAAAAAAAAAAATTTTGAATTCCCACTTCGGTTAACTGGACAACTAATCCGTAATCTCTTTTAATGTTTCCAGAACATGTCCTATACTCTCCCCTTTCAGCCATCCTTGAGGTCACACAAGCCCCTCTGGTGGCAATGTTTAGCAAACAAAGCAAATACAGTTCCTACTGGAACTGGTTTTATCCCTCTGGCAGGCAGAGCTGTCCTCCACCGCTGAGCAGTGGTCCCGGGCACTACCACTTTGCTGTCGGTCTCGAGCAGGCTCTGTTTCCCTTCTGAGGTGCCTGAGAGACACCTCGATGAAGAATTTCTTAGGGAAGCAAGACAGTGTGGCTTTATCTCAAATCCCTGCGGGTCAAAAGAAACACCAATAATAATAACATGACTTCTGAAAAGAGAGACCTGTGGAAAAGGACTAAGTTACATTCTAAATCGATCAGTGGTTCATGACCCATCTCGTGGTCCAAAGACTTTGAACCACTCAAATAATAGTTGTGTATCTTGGTTTGATACGAGGGAAAACGGAAACAAAAATCTGTTCTCCTATCTAAGCTTTTTCTTTAGTGATTCTCTGGCAGCTGGGCTGAGCAGGTAGGGAATGCTCAAGGCACAATCCAGTCATGAACAATAAACTGGATGGAGTTTGGGTTAAGAACCTGTCTTCTCACTTCATAAAATATGTGCTAGCAGATCTTGCCAAGATGTCTGGCTCATTCTCACTACTCATTCCACGAAGAAATGGTCTCATCATCGCATCACGAGGCCGCGGGGAGCCTGGTCCCTGCACGGCAGCTCTGTGGTCAACGGGCTGTGCCAGCCGAGCGCAGCTCCGCGAGGAGCTCTCTGGCCAGTTTTCTCGACCTCGGGGCTTCCATGCAGAGATGATCCCATCTGTACAAGGTCTGGTCAAGCAAGCCAGTCATCTCGTAGGTTAACTCATCAGTTGGAGCCATCTGCAATGAGGACAGAGGAGAAAGAAAACTAAAACACTCACCAGACAGATTCATCTCTTGGTCCAGTGAACCAACCGTACCCATCCTTCCCCAAAAAGCAGCTGCATTCTTATTAGCTTCGGAAGGGCTCTTGTTTTGTTTGCAAGGTGACTGACAAAGCAAGTCTGTTCTCAGAGGCTGGCCATCCAGTCAGCAGAGTCATTTCCTAATGATCACCCTCTTCGGACAGAATGGCCCGGAACGCACAAAGGCTACAAATAAACACCACGTTTCCTGGAATGCCAGTCACAAGCCAGGCGACTATCTGCCATGGGGAGCGAAGGTAAGTGAACGTGCTGTGGCCTGTCTGCAAAAAGCTCACACTAATATGAGAGCTGGAAACTGCTGGAAGGAAAACACCACCTGTTCTCACACAAACAGCTTTATAAATGGCATTCTTGGGCTAGCAACCTGGGCCCACTTGTTTTTTAATAGACATCTAAGGTTTTAACACCCGATTCTCAAAGGAAGCAGGAAAGGCAGGAACTGTTAGCTCTGCTAAATACAGCCTCAAGGCGTTCTCAGTTGTTGGTGCCCAAGTATTTTCCTAAGAATTTCAGCTCAGCAAAAAGGCCAGGGTGAGAATCTCACAACTGAATTGTGTGAAGAATTTACTGTGACTTTTTTAGACATGAGCACATTAAGCAGCCCTGATGTTGAGAATAATCTATATACTCACTTTGTGTGGGATAGTTTCTATAGACCCCTCAGTCAAATCTTTAATCAGCCATAGCAGCCACAGGTCAGCTTCCCATCCATCTCCACACTGGGCCTTCTGGTGGGAGGCCGCCTGCCCTGGTGCCCTCGGACAATCCCACTGCCCCGGAAACGCTTCACTCCAGGGCCACCACCTCTGACCGGCAGCTGACGCAGATGCTCTGGCAGCACAGGATGTGCGGGGCGCACGGCGACAGCATGAGGTCTCTTCAACTCTGGCTCAGAGGGGCTCTGCCAGGCTGTCGGGGGCAGGCCACCAGACTAGGTGGGGTTCACTGTGCTCTCGGTATCCATATTACCACTGTGTGGTTTTTACTCAGAATCACAGATGCTGTGGATGACCTCTGTCAGATACAGTTCTGTCTTTGTGGATGGATGAAACTGCGTGAGCCTCCCTGGGACACCTTCAAAGAGTTAATCTACTTCCTAGACCCCAAGTGCAGGGAGACCCCAAGTGCAGGGAGAGGGGCTCCCCTGGGCTGTTAGTCTTAACAGCTGGCTGTGGAGGCCACCTGTCCTGACCCTGTGTCATCTTCACAAGCCAGCTCAACCTCCACACTGTTCCACTCACGGTCTCTGGTCACATGCCCGCCTCCCTGCAGCCCAGGTAGGCAATCTGCATTGTTGGCCGAGATGCATCTGTATAGAGATGAAATTCATTTGAGTTCAACAACTATAGAACTGAACTCTCTATTTCAGATGCTAGCTAACTTACCTGGAACTGCTGTGGACCAGCAACAAAGATGACAGGAGAGAGAAACATGAACTCAGGACAGGACAGGGGGCAGGACAGAGTGAGCCTCAAGGGCAGGAGGAATCCAATCCCAACACCACCCGAGCTGCTTCTGACTCATCCTGGTCAAAGAGGCACATAGGGAGGGAGCAGGGCAAGAAACCTAGTAGCCAGAGGAGCAGAACACCAGGCGTGAAGGGGCAGGGATTCCGAAGGAGTTCAGTGGAAATTCTCAGAAGCCCAAGGCGGGCAGAAGCTGATTACGGGGGCCTGTGCAGGAGCCCAGGGGAGCAATTTGTAGGGAGTATCCTACAGCAGAAGCTGGAGTGTGGGACAATGTGGGAGGTCACAGCCTTTAGACAGGGCACAGACATGCAGCCCCTGTGGTCTGCAGCCTCGAGTGTGCACAGCTCCCCAAAGCTGATGCTGGGATAAGAAGGGTAAGACTAGGACACTGGCTCAGGAGCTGCTCTGCTCGGGCCTTAGTTCATATCAAAGCTGGGTCAGGGATGGAGTCCTGGAAGAGAAGAGAAAGGCTTCTTCCTGCTGGAAGAGAAAGGCCATCCCACCAAAGCCAACACTTCTACCATTTGGCCACCACCTGCTCCCAGGCCAAGGAGACCTGACCCAGGACTCCTTCCACAGTGCTCTGAGTGAGAGGAAGTGATGAGATAGGGGGGCTGAGGAGAAACCCATGAGAGGCTGGCACTGTGCAGAGGACTTCTTCCATCTGTCCTGTCTGTAGCTGCATCAGCCAGGATGCCCTCAACCTGTCATGAGGCCACTGCAGGAAGCCTTCCAGTTAGGAAGTCTGGTATGTTACTAAAAATAGTTTCAAAACACCCACAAGGACAGTGCCAAGGAGGCTCTCTAGACCATGATGGATGGGCTCCAAGGTGCCCAGACAACTACACCTGCTAAAAAGCCAATGTGTAAAGAGAATCATTGTGTTTTCCCTTCAATGAATTTTTTTGCAGCTGAGCAGACTTACGATATTTTATGAAGATGTACTGGCGTTTTCCACCTTCCCTTAGCCTCAGGTGCAGGCCAGAAGCATTAATGTATGGCTAGGACTGGACTGTTTTGTGGGAATGGGCTGCCCAGGAGAGGCAGCAAACTTGAATTCGTGACATACTCTAGGCTCCTTATTCACAGCACCTCTATGGGAGAGACGTAAGGATGTTCCATTCTGAATGTGGACTGTTTCCCCAGAATGGTGGATATGTGATTGGAATAACCGGAGGAGCATTCTCTGGGCCACTTTCTTCCTCTCTTAGCCCACGGGCAGGGCCAGGCTGGTCATCATCTCTGTGGCCTGTGAAACAAGGCAAACTCTGCAAGGGCCTGCTTCTCCATTCCCAAGGTAACAGCATAGGAGATGAGCGGAACAGGAACTCGCTGGGGAGAAGTAAGGCAAAGGCTCCGGGAGGAAGAGCCTGAGTCCCAGCTGCCAGGCTTGAGAAGGCTCCCTCAGGGCAGAAGCTCCATCCACAGGAGGGCATGGTCAGAGATTAGGTGAAAAAAATACCACCAACACTTTCATGACTCAAGAGTGCCTGCTGTTGACTTAGCATGTTGAGAAATAATTGGAATATCCTATTAGTTTCAGGCTTACATCATAGTGATTTGATATTTTTATATGTTATGAAATGATCCCTGTCATGTCTAGTTATCATGTCATCACACAAAGTTATTATAATAATATTGACTATATTCCCTATGCTATACATTACATCCTCAAGGACTTATTTTTGTTCATTTGTTTTGTTTTTTAGATTCCGTATGTAAGTGAAGTCATATGATATTTGTTTTTCTCTGCATGACTTATTTCACTTAGTATATACCCTCTAAGTCCATCCATGTTGTTGCTAATGGTAAGATCTCATTCTTTTCTATGGCTGTGTTATATTCCATTGTGTATAATACCACCTCTTCTTTATCCATTCATCTATTGATGGACACTTAGATTGTTTCCATATCTTGGCTATTGTAAATAATGCTGCAATAAACACAGGGGAGCAAATATCTTTTCAAATTAGTGTTTTCGTTTTCTTTAGGTAAATACCCAGTTGAAATTTTTGAGGAACCTTCATATATTTTCCACAGCAGCTGCACCAATTTACATTCCCACCAACAATGCATGAGAGATCCTTTTTCTCCACATCCTTGCCAACACTTGTTTTTCTTGTCTTTGTTTCTAGCCATTCAGACAGGTGTAAGGTGATATCTCATTGTGATTTGGATTTGCATTTCCCTGATGATCAGTAATATTGAACATCTTTTCTTCATGTCTGTTGGCCATCTGTGCACCTTCTTTGGAAAAATGTCTGTTCAGGTCCTCTACCTATTTTATTTTTTTTAAGATTTTACTTATTTGACAGAGAGAGACGGTGAGAGAGGGAACACAAGCAGGGGGAGTGGGGGAGGGAGAAGCAGACCCCCCGCTGAGCAGGGAGCCTGATGCGGGGCTCAATCCCAGGACGCTGGTCATGACCTGAGCTGAAGGCAGACGCTTAACGACTGAGCCACCCAGGCGTCCCTGGGTCCTCTATCTATTTTAAATGGATTATTTGTACTTTTGGTGTAGAGTTGTATAAGTTCTTTATATATTTTGGGTATTAGCCTTTTGTCAGATCATTTGCAAATATCTTCTATTTAGTACATTGTCTTTTCATTTTGTTGATGGTTTCCTTTGCTATGAAAGCTTTTTATTTTGGTGTAATCCCAATAGTTTATTTTTGCTTTTGTTTCCCTTGTCTGAGGAGACCTATCTAGGAAAATGTTGCTAAGGCCGATGTCAAAGGGATTATTTCCTATGTTTTCTTCTAGGAGTTTTATGGTTTCAGGTCTCACATTTAGGTCTTTAATCCACTTCTGAGTTTATTTTTGTGTATGGTGTAAGACAGTGGTACAGTTTCATTCTTTTGCATGTGGCTGTCCAATTTTCCCAGCACCATTTATTGAAGAGACTGTCTTTTCCCCATTGTAGATTCTTGCCTCTTTTGTCATAAATTGACCATATGCATGGGTTTATTTCTGGGTTCTCTATTCTGTTCCACTGATCTGTGTGTCTATTTTTGTGCCAGTACCATAGTGTTTTCATTATTATAGCTTTGTAGTATATCTTGAAATATGGGACCCAAATACCTCCAGCTTTGCTCTTTCTCAAGATTGCTTTGGCTATTCAGAGTCTTTTGTGGTTCCATACAAATTTTCAGTTTATTTGTTGTAGTTCTATGAAAAATACTATTGGTATTTTGACAGGGATAGCATTGAATCTAGAGATTGCTTTGGATAATATGGATATTCGCCCAGTCCATGAGCATGGTATATCTCTCCATTTGTGTCATCTTCAATTTCTTTCATCAATGTTTTATAGTTTTCAGAGTATAGTCTTTCACCTCCTTGGTTAGTTTATTCCTAGGTATTTAATCTTTTTGGTGCTACTGTAAATGGAATTGTCTTCCTAATTTCTTTCTGCTACTCTCTTGTTAGTGTACAGAAAGCAACA